TCTAAATAAATGAGAAATTCCAAAGTAAAATAGAAACACATTTTTTACTAGGCGTCGTCCTCGCCGTCGCCGTCGTATATGCGTAAGGTCCCTGTTGTTTTGCAGAGGACGGCAACGAAATGTACCAAGAATTATAACGCACGTGCACAGCCATTCTTCTGCTCATTAAACCTTTTGTTTAGCGACGTTCCCGTTGCCGTTGTGATTTTCTTAAGCAGCGTCACACTAAGCCGGAGGAATTTGAAACCGCAGCTTCATTTCTACGGTTAGTAGGCCTACCGTCCACACTAATCCGTCACGAAAACGGAGCTTTTCGAAAACTCTCTTCAAACCGGAGGAATTTGAAAGACGCCGGCTTTTCGTTTTCGTGTGGACGGAAAACACTTTGAAAACGAAGCTTTTCGAAGACAATGGCGTCACGGTAATCATGTGATATCCAAAGTTACCGGTGATTGTTACGTTTTTAAATTCCTCCGGCGTAGTGTGGACGGAAAACATTTGCTACGTTTTCAGGGTGAAACCTCCGGTTTGAAATTCATCCAGCGCCGACCTTAAACTCCCTAATGTTCCATTATAACTCCCTTTGTTAATTTTATTTTACATCAGAATACAAAAACTGACTGCAAACAACAACGAGTTGAGATTCGTGCCGGCGGCAATACTACAGATACCAACTTTAAAGAAGCTGAATCTCGCGGGAAACAACATCACTTCCTTGTCCGGCGACCCAGAAGAAAGCGACGAAAACTCAAACATGGCCGACAGTGAAACATGGGGCTGTACAGCCCTGAAGGTCCTTAACTTGTCGAACAATAAGTTAGAGCATTTACCACGAGGAATTCAGGGAGCCCTCGGGTTGACAAAGGTTTTGGTCGACAACAATAAATTGCGAGACTTTCCCATGCCTTGGAAATGTCCTTTGGTGAGTTTGCTGAACGCAGACGAAGGCTGCATGTTGTTTTTGTTACTGTCGTTGTCGTTGTCGTTGTTTTTGTTGTTGTTGTCGCTGGAAATGGAAACATGCTGTCATGTTAGGCTTAGTTCACACTAGCGACATAACAACATAACGACACAAACAAAACTACAAACATAAATACTTGCAGAGTGAACATCCTGACATAATGGCATAACAGCAACGTGACAGCATGAACATAACAACATAAGGAAAAAGACTGATCTTTTCCTTATATCTTAATGTCTTTATGCCTTTATGTCGTTGTGTCGCTGGTGTCAACTAGGCGTTAAGCCTGGTTCACACTAGCGACATAACGACATAAGGAAAAGATCAGTTTTATCTCTATGTCGTTATGTTCATGCTGTTATGTTGCTAATATGTCATTATGTCAACATGTTCACACTACAAACATAACGTCCTTGTTACGTAGAGATAACGTCCTCTTTATGTCGTTCGTGACGATTTCGTTATGTGTTTATGTCGCTAGTGTGAACCAGGCCTTATTGTTGTTGTTATTGTTGTTGCTAATGAAAACCTGCTGTCATTGCCCCTATTTTCAGTAACCAAGGGTGTTTTTTCCTTCTTCCGATTTATAGGAAAGCCTCGATCTGTCCCACAACGATTTTTCCCATTTTACCTGCAACATGGAAATGGTGTGGGCATTCTCTTTGAAGCGACTTAACCTTTCAAACAACCATCTGGGAAGCATTTCTTGGAACGTGTGTCAATTATCAAGTCTCCAAGATCTGGATCTAAGTCACAACGCCTTAAGGCAACTACCCAATCCAGAATTCTGGAAAAGTACCACTTTACACAAGCTAAACCTCTCCTATAACAAGGTAATGAGTAGCAAACGAGTTTTATTTATTATTTATTTTTATAATACCCGACAATGGTTTGCGTTAAGTTGTACATGTTAGCGACACGGAACTGAATTTAAGCCCGAGCGCAACATGAAAGGAATTGCGCGTTGGTGTCATATAATCGCCGTTGATCGCTCGAACGTGCGAAGATATTTCTCCACGTTAAACTGTACGAGTTTCTCGCTTTTGTGGGCTGTTGCGAGGAGGTCTGGTATCTCAAGTGTTGCATGCAGCACAGGCGAGCCACTTCGCTCCAGATTATACAGTTACAGTAGTGTGTACATAAAATATCAAACACGAAAGACTGTCTTTGACCGCATTTCCAAACACCGAGGAGAGGGTTGAAATTACGCCTCGCAACGGAGTAGTTTTAACGAGCTTCGACGTGTTTGGAAATGTGGTCAGACACTGTCAAGTGGTTGATATATATTCTCAATCAAAACGAAAACGAAGGAGAAAATGGGGAAATAAAATTGTTAAAATCTATGCCAACGAAGATCAGATATCCAAACACCGTTACGATGTTGATTTCCTTTGTTTAAACATGACAATTACATCTACCTTTACACAAGGTAAACAGAACGAAGACACTTTTAAAATGATTCTTTAATTTTTTTTAATTCAGCTCTCCGCGAAACCCCTAGTGGACTCACAAGCTGGCTCTCCAAAGCGTTTTCCGTTCTTCAGAAACACCGGACAAGAGGATGCTCAAAACATCAAGACGGATTGTGAGCTCCCGTCTGCTTTGTTCTCTCCCACGCTAGAAACACTTTTGTTAAACGACAACAACTTGCAAGTGGTGCCCTTGAGTATTTGTGGTCTAATGAGCCTCATTGAATTGGATTTAAGCAAGTAAGGAAACAAATTAATAAATATATTGTCAGATGCTGGAGGCACATGTAGTTTGCTTGCAGGGCCGGCCCCCCCTCTCTCCCTCTCTCCCTCTCTCCATACCTCCCTCCATCCTCCCCTTGACTTCCCGTTCTCTTTGTTATATGCTCTCTCCGCATTCCTTCTCTCCTGTCCTTTCTTTTTTTACGATAACTGCAGAAATTCTCGCACGCTCATTGGCTAATTTTCATTGTCAATAAGCGCCGGGACAGACACATGAATTTATAATTTATGCGATGCGTCAACGAGCGAGAGCGGACAATTTGTTATCGGAAAAAACAAATTGACGTCAGTTTTTCATGCGTCTGTCCTGTTATTGACAATGAATCTCGTCATAACACTGTCAAAGTAGTCTGCGGATCCACTCGGCTATCGCCCAGTGGATCCACAGCTATTTTAACAATGTTATGACGGAATTCATGATCAATAACAGGACAGACGCATGAAAAACTGTCAACTTATTAAATGTACATTATTTTGTCTTAGGTGTTTAATGAGGGCGTAGGACTGACTCAGTGCAATAGAACTACCATGTACTCGACCTAACATAAATCTAAAACGACACAGCCTTGGTCGAGAAATCGTTCAACTGACACTTCACTGATCAGAAATACTTTGAGTAATATCTTTGTCTCGCATTAATACCGTTCCTCCTTTTGCAGTAATCCTGACATGCGAACACTTCCTCCTGAACTTGGCAACTTGCGTGAGTGCTGGCAACTTAGATTAAACAAGTTAAATCTTCAAGGGATCCCGAAGCACGTGAGACCAGGTACGTGGCGTGACTTGCAAGAATAGGTTACAGTTTTTCTCTGTCGTGCACCTTAGACTGTAGACACTTCTTTTATCATTCAGTCGCGAAGTCTTGCCACCAAACAAAAAGTTTAATGAGCTAAACAATGGTTGTGCACGTGCGTTATAAATCTTTGCACATTTCTTTGCCGTTTCTGCACAACAACGTAAAATGACTAAGTTCTCCGTATTTTGGAGAACCCGAAAGACGACGGCTTATTTTTCGTATTTTCATTTGGAATTGTAAACTTGCGTTGCATATTTAGCTTGAGCAAGTTCTGAGACCAGAAGACGCTCTGAACAGATCTAGACAACTGCGAAATTCGAAGGTAAAATATAAACAAAACAAAGGTCGAATATCCGCTCTCCTTTTACAGTGTATCTCGATCTCACCTCACCAACCCGCATATGTTTTCATTTAGGTGAAAATGGTGTTCGATCTAAAGACACTCTAGCTTATTTACGAGCTACTCTGCGCAAGTCAGTGCCGTATTACCGTATGAAGCTTATGGTGGTAGGGCTGCAGGTGAGATGGCCGGAATAAATTATGTGACGAATAAATTATGTGATAAACTATGTGACTGCCGGTGAGATGGCCAAAATAAATTATGTGATAAATTATGTGACTGCAGGTGAGATGGCCAAAATAAATTATGTGACGAATAACTTATGTGATAAATTATGTGACTGCAGGTGGGATGGCAAGAGTAAATAAATTGTAAATAAATTGTAATAAATTGTGTGATAAATGATGTGGCTGCAAATAAATGATGTGGCTGCAGATCAGATGGCCAGAATAAATCATGGGAGACCAGAAAGCGACCAAATTTTGCGTGCTTGGAAGTATGCGAATCAGAACAGAGATTTCAGTTTCTCTACGTGTCGAGCTTTAGGAATTGCTGAATATCCTTAGACTGGGCATCTTGGTTAATAAATAAACTTCGCAACACTTTGGACGGGGGTTGGGGAAACTGCAGTCATAAATGATATCACTTTTGCCATTTAGGGGCGCGGAAAGACAACCCTGTTAGCTGCTTTGAAAGGTCAGAAGCTGCCACCGAATCTATCCACTGTGGGGATTGTAATCGATGAATGGCAGGTTCAGGTGGCTTCCAGTTCAAGGTTCACGTTACAGCGCTTCTTAACACAGGTAACGACTGTTTGATCAGGAACTAATATCTCCATACAGTGCTAAGGTTTATGCGACAATGGTGTAATCGTCAACTACTGGCTATTCTCGTGTCATAACTCTGCACGCGAATATTTGTAACAAACATGTTGAGAAATGTCGGTGTCAACTTCTAGTTAATACACTCGGGGCCAGGCGAACCCAACACAATTGAGAAAAAAATCGTTACCTCCTTTACGCCCTTTCCCAACCAGCTAAAAAGTCGTTGCATTGTTACATGATCATAACCTCCTCTGTCGAACCTCTTCCAGGCGTTCAGCTAGCTGGGGCCCAGCGCGAAGAAATAGGGAAGAAGCGCGGCGTGAGTAGGTGAGGGAAGGCTTGTTCGTTCGCTCTTCGCACTAGGCCTCTCTCTCCTTTTTTTTTTTTTTGCTCGCCGTTTTTCCCGCTGCGTCCTAACTAACTGAACGCTTGGGAGAGTCTATCTTATGACGTACAAACCGTCCCTGTGCTTCGCTCAACACACATTCGTCTTTTGTCTTATTGTCGTGGAATTCTGAATTCTCTACCTCGTCTAGTTGTATCTAAACATGAACGAAATTCCTCACACCGCTGAAACCCTTCTTAGTTTAATTTCCACTACTTAGTGTATGTTGTGTATTACTTTCTTGCCTTGTAGAGTGACGCGCCATTGATAACATTCAGCACCTGGGATTTGGCGGGACAAAATGTGTATTATGCCGCGCATCAAATGTTTCTCTCGCCAAACACTCTCTACCTGGCTGTGTGGAACGTGACGCACGGAGAAGAAGGAGTGGAGAGTCTGCGGCGCTGGCTTCTAAACATACAGGTGATAATTTTGATCCTTTTGATTTAATTTTAAGGACGCACTGAGATAATCCTGCGAATAATTCCGTTGCAGTCACGTTAAACCAGACCTAACTGCCCATGATAAGGCGGTGGATTCTTGATCGAGTGGTCTGGGTCCTAGCCTGATTCGCAGACGGTCCAGGTCGCTCGCGGCCGTTTGCTCGAGCGACCTGGACCGTCTGAGAATCAGGCTATCTTAGTCCGAGTCCTGGCCATTGTCATTATGTTGCGTTCTAGGGCAAGACATTTAACTCTTTCAGTGCCTTTCTCCACCCAAAAGAACAAAAAGAAAAAGATACCAGCGATTTGTTGGTTTAACCTTATAAAATGCTTCGGGTAGCGACGCGAAAAAGTCTACTCTTATCCGTTGCCTAGACACACAGTTAATACCAAGTCACTCTCTTCTTCTCTTTTCCAGGCTCGCGCTCCCTTTTCCGAAGTTCTGATCGTCGGCACGCACCTCGACTTACTGCCGAAGAAGAACCGACAAGCCCGCGTCGATGCATTGAGGCACAGTCTCGCGGTGAAGTATCTGGACAACCAAGGGTTTCCGAAGATTGTCGGAAATATCGTCGTGTCTCCGACCACTGGCGAGAACATCCAAGAGCTGAAGGAACTGATTTACAGTAAGGCGCTGAAAGTGAAGGATCTCGGAGAAAATATCATTGGTAGGAGGGTGAGTGTGCTTTGAATTACCTTGTATATAAACTGTAAACGGTCATGTTCTTTATTTTAGTTTCTTCAAGATACCAGGAAGAATTTATCAAGTACCAAAGCTAATCTGCGTGTGAGTAATTAGGCATGTAACCTCTTACACAGACGTTCTTTGGGCTCGTCACGCAATGTTCTTCGTGGAGGAGGAAGATTGCGTGACGAGCCCAAAGTTGGCATGGGAAGGCAAAGCAAGTCAATTATCAACGCGCTGCCATCTCGAACCTCAAAGTCCGTCTTCTGGTTTTCCGCGTAAACGTTATATGACCTCGTCGTTTATTTCCCGCGCTAAGTGGTCTTGTGGCAAGTCTTTGTTGAACGTCGAGTTCGCCCCCAACTATTAGTGTTCGTGTTTACGTAGTTGTTATCGAGTTATTAAACGTTTTCGCAGAACCATTTCAGTGTATGTATGTTTGAGAAGCTTAGATGACGATTGTTCGCTTGTTCACGTGCGCATAGCAACAAAGTCAAACGGTTACCGGTCATCTTGCACCAACGAACTCGCCAAGCGAAGGTTCCTCGCCAACAGTAATCTAATAAGGCAGTGGATAAAATAAAATAGTGAATGTTTTGCGACAATCTCCTACACATGTGGTGAATTAGTAACTCGTGTGTTCGGCAGGTCCCACAAAGCTACACAGACCTACAGCAGGCTGTCATACAAGAAGCTGAGCGGCGAAGATCCACTGGTGAACCGCCAATACTGCTGGAAGATGAAATCTTGCAACTCGCTAAGTCCAGTCCACAAAACGACATCTTGGACACAGAGGAGCTGACGCTAGGTAAATGTGTTTGACTGAGCCTGCGTGTAGCTGCCAGCGGCATGTTGCTAAGTAAAGACACCTGTGCTGATGGCGTCAAGATGACGTGACAGCAACTCGTTCCCGTGGTCTTTGGAAACGAGGCTGGCCTGCTAACTTTCGGCGGTTTGTGCTTTGTTTGCATTGAAAATTCGTCGTTTAATTTTTTGAGCAGTTTGTAGTTTCTCCCTAACCTTTATGGCAAACCCCTGATTTTCAAATGTTTTATGATCTTTTTCACCCTTTGTGAGTTATGACTTTGCCTGAACTATAGATATTTTTTATTTGAAATAGTCCTTTACTAAGTGAACTGACATTGAAAACATATTTAGATTTGGATCCATTAATTCAACAAAAAAGCTCGTTTCCTTCTTATACACCACCAAGTCGCCAGAAAAAAGAACAAGTTTTCTAGAACTCTTTTCCCACAATAACGGCTCTACCAGAGACGTCACACTCAAAATCATTCGCTTCAAAATTGACTGTGGTACTTCAATCTCCATGCTCTCTCCCCATAGGACCGTATTTTTAAACCTAAGAATCCAGTAAATTGAATCTACCCTTAAATTGCATCTTTATCTACCCTGCGACTAGTTGATTTCTCCTACGCTGTTTCTCTCACGTTCGACGTAGAAGAACCCTTGCTTTACCTAATACCCTACCATCCTCTCTAGCTACCAGGTTTCTTCATGAGAACGGCATCCTACTTCACTACAATGACCAGCTTCGTGGTTTAAACCATCTTTATTTCATCGATCCAACCTGGGTTTGTGATCTTATCGCTACTCTGGTCACAATTCGAGAGAGAAACCCTTTTATTGTGAACGGCGTTATGAAGAAAAAAGACTTGGAACTGGTGTTGAGAGACCCCAAGTTTCCCAAGGATTTTATCCCACAGGTAGGTCAAGCTTTAATATTTTCGTGTTTTCTCTCGATCGTTATCTTATTAGAAGCGTTAATCATTAAAATTCGCGGAAGAGGTTCTATAGTCTTAAGCAAATATCTCGACGTATTTTGATGTGTATAGAAGTGTCTTCAGTATGTCTTTTATTTTTTTATTTATTTACTTATTTTTTTCGTTTCTTTTTTCTGTTTTTTTTTTTTTTTTTTTTTTTTTTTTTTTTTTTTTNTTTTTTTTTTTTTTTTTTTTTTTTTTTTTTTTTTTTTTTTTTTTTTTTTCTTTCGCGAGTGTGTATGTGGTCCTGAAACTTAATTGTGAAAAATTACGTTAGCTTCCCTGCTAGTATTCAAGCACGGCGAGCCATTGAAATCTGATAACAGCGTTACACTTTCCTTGCGAGAAACTGTTACAAACCTGCTAGACAGACAAACTGACGACAGAAGAACAGACTGACTGACGGACGAAGAGTAAGATAGTCGGACGGACGGACGGACTGACTGACTGACTGACTGGCTACTGACTTCCTGACTAAGTGGCTGACTGTCTGACCGACAGACGGACAGACTAACAGAGTGTCTCATTGACTGACTGACTGACTGACTGACTGACGGACGGACGGACGGACTGACTGACTGACTGACTGACTGACAGACCGACTCACTGACTGACTGACTGACTGACTGACTGACTGACTAATTTAGTTATAAATTGATTGATTGATTAATTACCGGTAATTGATTGACTGTGTTAATGTTTCAGTATCTGCAGCTAATGGAGCGTTTCGAGATCGCGCTCTCCTTGAACGACGAACAGCTCTTAGTTCCATCCATGTTACCAAAAGAGAAACCTGGAATGCAACTTCATCAGCTTCAAAAGTTAATCGCCAAGAAAAGGAAGTCTGTCGATAAGGTATATTTAGAAGTCAAAATATTAACCAGTTAGGGCATGGTATATCGCGTGAAAAAAGCATGATTGATAGAAACAACTTTAAAGAAGAATATTTTTGTCAGTTTTTATGATTCATTTTTTTATTTCTTAATAAATGTTCATTTTACAGTTGGACTGGCCCGCGGATAGCTATGCTAGTCTAGGCGGGCCAGTCTTTCAATAGTTGCAAATGCTTTTCTTGTTTAATTATTATTATTATTATTATTATTATTATTATTATTATTATTATTATTATTATTGTTATTGTTTCACTATCACCATCACTATTACTATTGCTATTGCTATTGCTATTACTATTATTATTATTATAAAAAGAATAAAGAATAATAAAAAGGATAATAAAAGAATAAAAGGATTTAACTGGAGATGTCAAGGACAGCGTTCACTCTGCAAATGTCCTTTAGTCAGATAGAGCCGGCCGTTTGTTTCTAGTCATATTTCTGTCTGAAACGCGGCGCCTTGCGCCTATATTCATTACTGGGTCAAGTCCCTGTCAAGACAGATCTGTCACACCGTTATACTTAACCGATTTGTACAATTTTTAAAGAGGACTTCAAATTTCGAAGAAAGAGTGCAATAAGTCTTTTGGCTTGTCCCCAGAGCGCACGCGTATAGAGTCGGCGGTGACTAAATGTGCGACGTTCTGCTCAAAATCAAAAGGAGGAACCAAATAACTGCTGTATTTTTCTCTAATTAATCTGCAAAGTTGTAATCGAACAGTGTAATCGGACAGTTGGCTGTAATCGGACACCTGTAATCGGACAGTTACATGAGCCAATCATTTTAAGTCCTCTCCTCTAAATCCACCAATCACGACATTGATTACAATCACTATAGTAACCAATTCAAGGGACTGACTTTATAAAATTGTGCAGGTTTAGTCTCCAGTGACTGTTTTGAAAGAAACTTAACAGCCAATTTGCAAGCTGTTCTCCATATTTTTAATTATGATATTTAAAAATGACTATTAAAAGCTCTTTCAAATGAAACTTTTACTTTTGTGGGAAATTGTGATGGTTATGATTAATTGGTAACAGGACATCGTGTCGTCCAATTCAGTCTGTAATCATTCTCGTGATTAACAAATCGGACTCCCACTTCGCGATTGTCCGATTTTTTTAATCACTCGTATGATTACAGACCGAAGTGGACTCCATACAGTCCTATTACCATTGTTGATTGCAGGCATGCGTTCGATTTCAATAATGGTCTCTGAACATTTCTTGAGGGCTAACCGAAAGCATTCTGACCTCTGGCAAAAAGACTTGGGTAATTTTGTATAGCAATTGTTCACAGATACTATCAAAATGAAGGTCTTACGTACTACTTTTGGCTTCTTACAATCAGGTTAAGTTATCCAGCAGTCGGGGTAGTTCATACGATAGTAGAAGCATCAGCACAGTGCGCAGAAACTACCAGATGGCCTACACACCGAGCGGGTTCTGGAGCCGACTCATTACCAGGCTCATGGTGTCGGTTCAACGATGGCGCGCCATTGAGCAGATCAAGGAAGAGAGCTATTCGTTGGTTTATTGGCGCGAGGGGATTGGGGTCGTGTACGAAGGCGGGCATTTCCTGGTGGAATCTTACAAGGAGTTGGTAAGTTGTAAGACGAAGTTGCGTTACTCGTGTTGCGTTACGCTGTTTGGCGAGCACGCACATATAGAGAAGTTGAAGTTCTGGACCCGGGGGGAGGGACTCCCATGGTAAAAGGTCGGGGATGCTTGTCAGAAAATTTGAATTAAACCTTTAATGGAGACCAATTTGGGCGTGGTTCAAGCTTTATTTGACCCCAACAAGATACCACTTAAAACAAAACAGGCTTGCGCTTTTCAGGAAAGCGAGCCCGCGCTAGAAGACCGAACTCGAGAGACAGGCGGAAATCGAGCCTAAAAGCGGAAATGAGAGCGTTTCTTTTATTATTATTTCTTCAAGTGCAACCGAAAAGATACTTTGACAGCTAAAAATAGTGGTGTTCCGTCATTAATACCCTAAGTGAGACCAGAATCCCTGATTTATACCCCTAAGCGAGACGAGGAGCATCCCCGACCTATGGGTGTACCCCTAAGGGAGTATGTGAGTACCCCTAAGGTTTCTGGGTGAGGTTTCTGGGTCAAAATTCGAACTGTCAGCTTAAAATATTGCGCGTATTTTAACTGATAGCCAAGATCTCATACCTAGATCTCATAGTCTTTAGCTGAGAAATGGGTTGAAATTTTTACTGAGCTGTGAAATTGCCCAAAATGTAAGTGATACATATGTAACTGAAATCGATCGTGAAAATTCTGCGCGAAGTTCAAGCGTTACATACTTAAGTTGATCAAACTGTTACGTTTGTGACAGTATGAGTTTGGGTGGGTGAGTGCTCCTTTTTATGGGCTTTCTAGGTATGTGCGGTCCTAAAGGGGGTTGTTTTCAGCCGTTTTGGTCTGAAATAGGGTATGGTTTGTGTGCAGAATGGGGTTGACATGCCCACTCAATTCTTGCGGTTCGTGACATTTGTACATTTACCGTTTTCTTTTGATTTTTGGCCTCTCAGCCTTTCTCAAACCTAGTGAAGGCATGTAAACATTTTCTTTACATTGGTCAGGACTATCAGGTCGGTCAGAAATAGGGTAGGGTAAATCGCAGTTTTGGTTTGAAATAGGTTAAGGGTTTCTGCAAGCCGGCCGCATACCTCTACCCCTGTTTCTGGGAGTCCACTCCCCCCCCCCCCCCCCTCATTCCTCTAGATGTTTTGTTCAAAATGTTCAGAATGTCAATAATCCAATCTAACTAAACATCTATCCTTCCCAGATCCCTGTCAACCAAGGGAAGGCTGCCTTTCAAGAAATCAACGGCGTTACCATCAGTGTCTGGTCAGACCAACGCGACTTCTCTTCTCTTGGTTTCATTGTCGACCAAGTTGACGCTCTCATCTCCGAATGGTATCCAGGTAAATATGAAAAATTAGTAACTGGAATTGCTTGACTTATCGTCTTATGTGCGGCAAGAACTAAATTCGCTCTCAATGTTCGCCCATTCCAGTTGTAATATGAAGAGATTGCATACCTAAAGTCTTAGAGCTGAGTAGACAAATGCCAAGCTTTAAATAGCCTATGAGCAGACTTCTCTAGTCGAGGATGAAGCAAAGAGAAAGAAAGAAAGAAGAAAGAGGATAGAAGAGAAAGGAGGAGAGGGGGAGGAGGGGAGGGGGAGGAGGGGAGAGATTACGCCGCCCCATCTCTCCACCCAATCCCCTTGGCCACTTTACTCTCAGCCGGTACCTTCTCGGCGCTTTCTTCCGCGGTCAGACCCTTCCAGCCGGAGCTTGTTCACAGGCTAAGCTTTGAAGCAGTGACCAGTCGCTCACTCTACTGTGAGATATTATCCATGAAAAACATGAAAATCCATCAAATAAATCAAAGGTATTATAGTTTTTACCGGTCTCTGTCTTCAGCGAGACTGTAGCGGAAGAACGAATGTCAGACAATAAACACTGTGAGAATGGCAGTGTTTAAAGGAGCTCAGTCACGATGTTTTGTCTTTCTTTGCCCACGTACAAAATCTCCTTTAAATGGAAGGAAACTTGAAAATAATAGTTTACTAAGAGAGAAAAACATCAAAGAGATAATAATAAACCATAAAGGAACAAGGATGGTCAAGGATGGCGAAGATTAACACGGATTGCAAACGACGAATTTGAAAAATTTAGGCTAAACTTTTCAAAATGTGTAAACCGTGACTAAGCTCCTTAAATCGAGACTCGTTGGCCTTGATGAACACCTCTTTTGAATTTCGTGGAGCAGTATTCTCCGAGATTTTTGGAAAATAGGATAACCTCGTGATGTATGCCCATATTTTCGAAAAAAAACTGAAAAAGGAATTTCCGTTCTTTTTGATCTTGTTCCCTGAATTTCCGAAATTCTCGATTGAATGGTTTGTGTTTCGGAAATTTGAGAAATTCTAGAATTTTTCGCAAACTTTCCAAGAAAATGTCTGAACAATATTTCTCAGTATCGGAAGTCCTGGAATGTTTTGTTGAATGAAAAGCGTCCCGGAATATACTCACAGTTTGGTTGCGTATTGAGTTCTTCTACATGTATTTTGGACTGAGTAGTTGATTGATTTCACGAAGAATCAATAGAGGATATTACACGGTGGCGAGAAGATATGAATTTTATATTCGAGTGGCAAGAACATTATCTTACAAGTGAGCGCAGTGGCCGAGTGAGATATTGTTCTTGCCACGAGAACATAAAATTCATATCTTCGAGCTAACGTGTAATGTTCTTTTTATTATATAGACATACTGATGACGGCGGTTTTGACGATTATACGAAGATTTCCGACCACTTTCCGAAGATTTCCGAAGATTCTCCAAAACTTGCCCGAAGTTCACACGAACGTTGACGAACATTTTCCGAAAATCTCCGAAGATTACCGAAGATTGCCGAAGGCCTTCGAGGAAGACCCGAAGATGTTTCGATGATACACCAACGAATTTAAGTACAATTTAAGAGACAAACTTGATATCATGAAATCATCGATATCTTCACCAGTGAGGATATGGAAAATACGCCACTCGAGTCCCGGATGTGGTTTCGTATGAGTTTTACGAGTGGTGTATTTTCCGGTAAAACACTCGAGTCTACATAATAAATCAAGATTATTGTATGTTGATCAGTACATTCAAGGCATAGGTTTATCTAGAAGCTTCAGCAATCCAGCACATACTGACATACCTGTTTTTCATTAGGTTTGGACGAGATGGACATGTATGGGCTGCCATTAGTTCGCCGTTTTATCCCTTGTCCACTCTGCACAAACATGATGACGCAGCGTCATTCAATGAAGCGATCCGTTTCCATGGAGTTTCCCCCCAATTTCCACGCGGCGCAGCCTCCACGACCGTACAGCTTCACGCTCCCGACATGCGCTGCGACAGCACTGAATTTTGAAACAATTGCCTGTCCCTACCACCCTGATAAAGTTGTGTCGCTGCAGCACCTAATCCCAGACCTCCTGATGGCGGATCTGCCGCGTCATTTATTGGTGGATCCAAGCCAGTTCAAGTTCGAAGCGAGAGAATCTCAGAGAATTGGCGGTGGGGGGTCGGGTGAGGTGTATCATGGGACCTACCGCAACGAGGCTGTAGCTGTTAAAACATTTCATTCTACGACACAGGCTGGGTAATCACCGACACTTTATGTGTACTTTCTTCTTTATACAATACAACGTCTTGCCTCCTTCACAGACTTTCTTTAGTATCGTTACGAACGCACTTAGATCGTAACTTTGCGCTCGTTTCCAGTTCTCTCCTAGATAGCGGACTTGGGAATACTGGGCCGTCATCCGGATCCAGGACTTTAGGCTCTTTGCATTCACGGGCGCATCGAAGTGAGGGCTCGAGCATGCGCAGATCAGAAGTTTTATCCGTGTTCTCTGAGGGTGACATGGAGGAGGAACTGGAGAAGACCAAGGTTGTCAAAGCATTCTGGGACTTGCGTCAAGAGGTATGAACAAGCATACGAAAACGAAATCAGGGGCATTTTTTTTTTTTTTTTTTTTGCCGTTTCCTGCCTGTCGAAAGCGTCAGTTTTTTACTAGCCATTAAATGAACTAACGTGAAAGAAGATTTTGTTGACTGGAAATGTAAAGTTCATTGTAAATCTAAATTATGCACTCTGGCCAATATGGCCAATGTACTGCGCGAGCTTTTCCAGGCTATTGAAACATGAAGTGACTTGTAGAATTGCTACTAGCCGCTGGATAGGATGCTTGGCAGTCGCGCCGGTATAAAGTGGCTACGTAGCCTTGACCCGAATTTATGGCCCTTCCGTCTTAAATATGGCGTTTTTGATTACTTTGTTTCTTTCTTTGTTTATTTGTTTAGGTTGCTGTCCTATGCCGTTTGAATCACCCTTGTGTAGTTCGGCTTCTTGCTGTCTCCCTCCACCCTCTGTGCTTTGTGTTAGAGCTTGCTCCGTATGGCAGCTTAGCTACAGTTCTTGATGAACTTTCGTCCAAACGCGAAGCTCTAGAAACTGAAGGAGGGGTAGTGTCCAGGGCCAGGGAGGCCATACTTGGCCGTGAGCTGTCGTATAAGATCGCATATCAGGTGAATTTCTAGATATATTTTAACTTTTCAGAAAAGACTTTTGAAGGAGCTTAGTCGCATCATTTTGAGTTCTTTTAGCCACATACAAAATTACCTTTAAATTAAAGGAAACCTGCAAATACTAGTTTACTAAGATAGAATAACACCTAAGAGATAATAATAAATCATAAAGGAACAAGGATGGTTAAGGATGGAGAAGATTAACGCGGATTACAAACGACGAACTTATAAACTTTTCCAGTTACGCAAACCGCGACGTGACTCCTACATGTAGAAGTGGAGCTGTTTACGGGATGCCTATCTGTGGGGTGGGGAACTGTGGGGACAGTCCCCCTGGGATTTAACAGTGTTGTTGAAACAGGGATATTCGGACTGCTTTTTCATGATGAAGAAGTTGATCACTGTACAATGTACGCCACTGGGATAAGGAATTCTTGATTGGAGCTTGCTCGAGTAGAGGGTGTACAGGCAGACTCGAAGTTCAAAAGATTATTTTACTGGTGTACTGCTTGGTGTTAATTTTAAAACAGAGAGAAGACGAATGCTAAGCTCTTAGCCGTTGTGAAAAGCTGTTACGATCTCTTGGGTTTCTTCAGAAGCTAAGGGTGAGACCTAGCGTGCGTGTGTCCGGACAGAAAATAAATATGCTCACAAAACAGTGTAATCCATGTGATGAAAATATGAATAAATTACGTATGAATAAATTATATACGAACAAATGAAGTATGAATAAGCTAGGTATGAATAAATTGCATACAAATATATTAAATATGAATAAATTAATTCTTGATTTATGCTTTGGCGTGCATCATTGAGTTATGGTACACGCGGGAAGACTAGAGAGCAAGAAATAAGCGAAAGAGTGCTCCTAACTGCACAGCTAAAGGCTTCATCAATCGTTTTATAAGATTGACTATGGAACGAAATGCTTCATGGCGAAGCGAAGTTTCCTTTGCTCACACCATGAGAGTACATCATTGGATTTTATACAACAAGTGAGATACTACGCGCATTCTCATTGGTCGATAGGTGTGTTTAGATGCGAGTATGTAAACACGGTTGTGACGTTTTAGGTTTACGCGTGCTTTTTAGAAATATTTCATAAAAGCAATGAAGCACTTTTTCTGTGTTTACTACCCTCATCAAAACACTTGGGGGTTGGGAGAATTTTCCAAAGTTATGCAAACCCTCGACTGCATCCCGGGTTTGCATAACTTCCTCGGATTCTCCCAATCTCGCTCGTGTTCAGATGAGGCTATGTAACCACGGACAAGCACTCTATTGCTTAAATGATGCACGCTTACGTATACAAGTATACTGAGTTTGATAGCACCGCTTTGCAAGCTATGTTATGATAACTTTTGCTTTTTTTTTTTTACCTCAGGTCGCCAGTGCTATTTGGTATCTTCACGACTGTGACATCATCTATCGGGATCTCAAAGGCGACAATGTGTTGGTATGGTCACTAGACGAGTCAAGTCTACTGAACGTAAAACTTTCCGATTACGGTATCTCCTGCTTTGCCACCCCCCAGGGGGTTGCCGGAGAGGAAGGGACGCCCGGCTATCAGGCACCGGAGATTCGCACCGGGGTTGGATATGATGAAAAGGTAATGGAACGGGAGAGTTGCGGGATAAATGATGTCAGGTTATTCAAGCGTTACCGTGATGTACAGCAGCTGTGTGTATTTGCGCAGGCGCGCGAGGGCAACCTGGTGTTTCCTGGGTTTCACTAAAAATAAATGAGTCTTGTTGCTTAAAGTAGTTCGTACAGCCATTTTGAGATCAAATGTGGCCAAACAAAAATGCTAGTCTTCGAGTGTTTTTCAACCCAAACGTGAAGAAATTTTTATTATTACTTCTCTTAATACAGTCAAACCTCAGTTAAGCGGTCACTATTAAGACGTCAGTATTCAAATTCCCGATTTTCGCTTCACTTATAATATTTACGATATATTTGACCTCCATTAGGCTGTCACCTCTATCAGACGGACGCGATCATCTTGTAAACTTCCCAGTTGGCTAATTTTATTGTAATTCACCTCTGTTAAACGGTCACCTTGCTACATCAGGTGGTCAACCGGAGCACAGTTTTATGGTCACCAGAAACTTACGCTGGCGCTAAACATAAGTCAGTGACATGCTTCTCCAAATTAAGTAAAGTATCCCCAAATCACAGGCGACCATGACTGATATTTTTCACTAATTCATGTTAGACGTTAACCTTACGAACAACATTACTATAAAACCTGTTGGCTAGTGCGTAGACTTCTTAGAAAATGCAACTGCGTATGTTTCGCATCACCGTTGTTACGAACAATAAATGTAGATTACAGGCTTACTTTTGTTTTCTTGTTCAATTTTTGCCCTATATCTCGCTAAATTTTGATCGCCCTTTTTTTAAACGGTCAACTTCTTTTAATCGGTCACCCAGCTATTTCCTGGGGATGACCGTTTAAGAAGAGGTTTGACTGTAGCTGAATTGTTCAAGAGAAAAATGTTTGTTTAGCGGAAGGTGTAGATCTTATCATTGGCAGCTTGTTTTATTAAACAATTAGATTATGAGCTCTAGAATATTCTAATCGTTTTAGTATAAATCTACTTGTCGTTCAAAACTTTATCTAAATACTCTCCACAGGCAACTCGAAAACGCAAAGAAGCGGCCGCCATTTTGTTAACAAGCGCACACTGCTACGCTACTCACCATCTACAGAATAGGTAGTGAGTAGCACAGCCAATAAGAAAACGGCATTCGTGATAGAACGCTAGTAGATTTTTCCTTATTGCTCTTAGTAGGTGATTGTTCTTCGACTTTTTTGAACACGTTTTCCTCGAGGTCAGAATAAAAATGTGATGCGTTAATGATGGCGCATCCGAAATGTATTCGTGTTCGTTCAAGTTGTGTATTTCAAAACTGTTATTTTAGGCCTAATGCCAATTCGACTTCAGTTCTAGCTGGTACAGTTGAAAGAAGCCGTTTGCTTATTCATCTTGCACTAATCAGAGTCTTGCTTTTTGTTCAGGTGGATATTTTCTCCTTTGCAATCTTTGTGTTTGAGCTTTTGTCTGGAAGTCGCCCTTTTCGTGAATACCGCAACATTATTGACATAAAGAAGGCTATTCGACGAGGAGTCCGGCCATCGCTTGAATCTTGTGATCTAGATACACAGATACCACGACTTGAAGGTCTTATGAGGTAAAATTTCTATCCCTTTGAGGTCTCATTAAGCTTTTTATGGAAATAAAATCAGCTTGTATTGGAAGTGAACATTATTACAATATAGATATTGGGGTCAATGTATACAATATGATACAATCAATAAAAATGATACAAATGTCATAAAATACAATTACAAATACAGTTTAAAGCTAAACGACTTCAACTTATGTTCCTTAAGGGAGCCCCTTCCACTCTTTAATTATTTTGACGAAAAACGAGTGAAAACAGTAGTTAGCTGCAGCTTTTGGTTATCTTAACTTAAGCGAATGGTTTGCCCTTGTTTCATTATGAGAAAAAAATTCAAAGATGTCAGCGCAGTGAAATCCGTTTATATTCTAGCAGGAATAGGTAAGACCTCCTTAATTGACTCGGGGTTATTCTAAGCAAGTATTCTCAACCTCTCATCGTATGACGTCCCTGCTAACTTTCCGTGTGAGAGCATACTTCGAGCTCCTCCATAACCCATACAAGTTCCTTCCTAATTTGTATTGGTTTAACAGCTTGGCTTGTCATTCCCTGCAGGTCTTGCTGGCATCAGTTACCGGAGAAACGGCCTCCTGCCAGCGAGATATTGCAGCTGATGGAGGAACCTTCGTTCTTGTGTCAATGTCGACTCGTGCCTTCAACCAGCGAAGGCTTGCTGGAGAAAGTTACAACGATTCATGGCCTATCGCTGGCTGGCACTGGTAATAAAACGAGTTCATGATATTGAGAAGGCGACTAAAAAACGTGTATACTTTTGTACCCTCCCTAGTTCTTAACTCTTTTGTTTGTTCGTTCGTTCGTTTACTCGCTCGCTCGCAATCGCGCGCTCGTTCTCTCAGTCGGTCGCTCATATTGTCTGCACATTATTCCCTCCCACTGCCCTTCCCTCTGTCTACTATGATTTATCTGTCTCTATGTCTATCTCTCTGTCTGTCTGTTCGTCTATCTGTCTATCTGTCTGGTCGTTTGTCTACGTCTGTCTGTACGTCTATCTGTCTGTTTGTCTGTCTGTCTGTCTGTCTGTCTCTTCACCTTCTATTCCTCTCACATTGCTAAATTTCCTTATTTATTCATTCATTTCATGTTGCACTTCTTCGTTATTTCTTGTCGCCATTTTAATTTCTTTCCTCTTTTTCAGGTAATCCTATGGCTTCCCAGGCCAACGACAGTCCCTCGACCGAAACTACATCCGGCTTTGTGTTACTATGGAGTCGAGAACGTGAAAACCGTTACTACAGTATGGTGAACTGCGAAACAGGAGTGTTCTATACGCACGAACAAAAATGTCCCGGTCACAGAGTGCTGTGTATGACCAGGGTGGGCAATCGGACCTGGCTGGGAACGGAGGTAAGGCAAATCCGTAATTTTGAGAAGGTATAGGGGAATTTTTGTTTACAATATTCGCCTCACTGGCATACGCGCTTCAATTTCTGAACGAGCTACAAAAATTAAATTCAACTCTGAATATTGAAGGAGTGTGACATGGTTAACCGTCCCAAGAAGTATTATTGAGTATATTTTGTGCGGGGCTGGTTTTAAATCTCTACGTTGTACAAAGAATGTACAGGCTCAGTTAGCGCTTTTGCCACGCAGAAAAATTGCCGTTTTTGAAAGCTCATATCTCCTACAATATTACACCCAAAGAGCTATTTCTTTTCTATTAGAGCACTTACGCTACTTACAATACTACAGCTAATTCAAATACTCACAATACTTACTAACATACCTTAATAAATAAACCGTATAACTCATTACTTACAATATCGTTACATAGCTTACAATACTAACTTAAACATACTGTACAATACCTTTATGTTAAAATACAATCACAACGGCAATAGAAAGTTACAAAGAAAGCGATACAATAAATAGTTAGAATACAGTTATTGTTTACACAGGACAAATTGTCCCCCATTTTTGGTTAAATTGATCTAAACTTTTGTTCTTCGTGCAGATATATTTTCTCGTTTCAAATTTAATTTTGATGTTTATCTTAAACCCAGCTAAGCTTGGAAGTATTTGAGATCTTCTGTAATCGCATAGATATAGTTTGGCTATCAATAAGAAATAATTCAGTTAGGGGCATTCTGAAGCTATAATGCCTATTAATACATCTTGCAAGCTAAGATGAACAAATTCTTTTGATAAAGAGTAAAAGTGCAATTCAAAATCTTTCCAGAAAAGCTTTGAGTATACGTTAAAAATTTCGCCAATTAGGAAGAACACAAGCTCTTTAAATGTTTTAACTCTGTTCGTATTTATGCAAAGTGGTGCACTAACGAGGAAGCCATGACCTGGCTAATAAAGTCCCCTACATATTCTGCGCTACGAATTGTTCTATCACATGTCTAAAGAAAGGCCTATTCTCTTCACTGTTATCACAACAACTACTGCATTTAATTTTTAACGTATCTAAATCAGCTTAACCTTTACAATCGAAAGATGGAGTAATTAATTCTCCCTACTCATCTCCAAACAGTATTTTGTAATTGTGATGAGAAATTATAGGTACATCAAGACGATATCACTGCTAAGTTGATGAATTCCTTTCCTCTCGTCTCCTGTCTTCCAGACAAGTCACTGACATGGTAATGAGAAATTTGAAGTTAATCATTGTTTTGAAACGACTTTTAGTAACTCTTATTATGTAGGTAAATTCCAGGTGATGGATAAACATAATTAAGTGCCTTGTTTGTTCAGGGGTGCACAGTGGAGGTGTTCGGACGCAGGTCCTGGCGTTTGCCTTCAACTCTGTGGTCCTATATTACTAAGGCCCCAGTTCTGGCACTGTTGACAGAATATGCGCCTTCAGAAGCCGATTCCTTTGAGACGTCAGAACCACAGGTGGGCATTTGTCATTTACTTTTAACGTGGTTTCTTTTCACTGCAATGCTGCTTGTCAACAATGACCATTTCTGAGATGTGGTCGTCGATAATTGTGCTTTTGTTTTTGTGTGAGGTGCGGTCGTCTAGTGGTTCGACACTGATCATTGTGTTGTTCCTGGGCAAGGCACTTTGCTCTCACAGTGCCTCTGCCCGCCCAGGTCACAGTTGCTCGACGGTTGGTGAACGCTATCCACCGAAGAATATAGATCACTTTCCCGTGGATAGATGTTAACAAAGTCAACTACGCGAAAGTGAAATATTCTTGTTATGTGTTATCCTTTCCCTGAAAATGGAGGCAAAGATCTTGTTGTTCAAAGGCTAGCAAACGCTATTCTCTCTCTCTCTCTCTCTCTCTCTCTCTCTCTCTCTCTCTCTCTCTCTCTCTCTCTCTCTCTCTCCCCCCCCCCCCCCCCCCCCCCCNNNNCTCTCTCTCTCTCTCTCTCTCTCTCTCTCTCTCTCTCTCTCTCTCTCTCTCTCTCTCTCTCTCTCTCTCGCCCGCCCCCCACTCTTAAAACTCCAAAACAATTATTATCTAGTAGTAAGTGGAATTTGTTTTGTTAGCAATTATCGACTGCGTATTGCACGTTACAATAATTTTTTCTTCCTTGTTTTCTGTATATTCTCCTGTTACCAATATAGACCTTAAACTGTGCGGAGTGCCATTTCCAGGTGTAAAATTATTCGATCATAATAGGAAGAAGCTTAATAAAGAATTACTAATGACTAACTTTAACTTATTGATTGTTCTTGTTCTTTGTATTTCAGAGTGAAACAATAGTTAAAAATGTGTACGCGTCCCTTGCGAATGGCACTCTAGTGGTGTTCACTCCAAAGACGGCCTCCACCGCACGGAGGTGCTCACACAATGATGTCACCTTGGTACAAAAGGAGGAAGACGAGCAGCTGATAAGAGAGAGCGACAAATGGTCCAACCTTCAGGTATGTCACTTATCCTTCATCGTGAAAGGACCCATCACTCAGATGGCGGGTCATGAAATTTTCACCCCAACTATTTCAAGTTTGTCGATTGCAGTCTGTAATCCTAATCTCTCAAAATCTTGTCAAGTCTTGCTGTGTTATCTTTTTTACTCTAATAAGTTTTATTTTGGAGCTTTTGATTGGTTCTTAGGTAGCTTTCTATATCACAAAACACAACTCAATATACCGTTTCATAGTTTATGCTCTCACCATTTTTCACCATGTTTGCGTTATACGTTCTTATGGCTGGTTATCTTTTATGGTTAGTAACGTGTTCACTTACTCATACAATAAGAAACCATTTTAGCAAAGCTAACCGTTATCAAAACGTATTTACTCGCAAAGTAGCAAAAAAGACAGCAACGTAAATCGGTCTTTGTTGTGTAAGATTACATCAGGTTTTTGTCTTAGAAATGGTGAAATCAAGTATAGTTAGGGTCGAGAAGAAATAGCTCTCGAAATCTGAAGATCCCACATTGACTCTTTGCATAGTTTTAATGGAAAACCAAGAAAGGGATGTCACAAAGAACGAGTCCAACGAGAGCAATGTTCGCCTAGAGTGATAGGTACAGTATCAGTGCGACAGTTCTCTTTAATTGTCATTGACTTGAGGTGTCCTACATTAGAGAGCCTTTTGAAAATAAGGCCAAGGTTCGCATTGAGTGAGAACACAAGAGAGTTGGCCTCGAGTGTATAAACTCTAGACTACTCTCGTTTTCTCTCTCCTACACTGTAAGGGGCTCATCAGTAGTGTTATATTATGGTCCATCTTCCAGGTCGTCAATCTTGGCCAACACGGAATGCCCGCTAAAAGCATGGTCCTTGTACGTGACAACAAGGAATTGTGGGTCGGATGCGGTAACAAAATCGTCATAGTCGATACCAGCACGCTGGTGTTACTGGACGAGATTGCTGTGTACCAGACTTCGAGGACACATGTTCGGATCATGGTCACCGATGGCTTGCGAGTGTGGAGTGCTGACAGAAGATCGACGAAGATTTTGCAATGGGCTGTGAGTAGTCGTCAGCTAACGAATATTTTCGACTGCGATTCGGATAGCCCCGTAGGTGTTGTGTTAAGCACAGATGTTAAGGACTCCCGTCGTTTCTCCACTGGGGCGGAAAGTTCTAGGCGCAACCAAGCAGTTAGTGACCCTCCTGGAAATCTTAACCCGTCTTACACGGAGGCCATGTTCAGGGAAGCGATGGCGTCTGAAGGGAACCCCGAAGGCGACGGAAGGGAATCTACGCGCCGAGATGACTCGCTTCCTCGTAAAGTTGCATCATCCTCTAGTATCGATCTTAAGGTTAAAAGAAGCGGCACCTTTGAGAGTTCCGAAGATAGCGATTCGATATCATCAACTCAGAGTCCACCGGTTACAATCCCTGGTTCCAAAGCAAAGTTTTTCAATGAGAAAGAGACGGAGGAAAGCATTTTGTCTCGTTTTCGCTCTCTATCAGCGGAAACCCACTCCAGTGGTGACAGTGGGGTGTCTTCTGTCAGCACGACCAAAAGTAACACAGCGAACCCAAATACGACAACTACTTCGGGTGCAGCTCGGATTGCTGCTGAAGATTCACGAACTGACGAGGATTCTACTTCGGTGACTTCCGGAAACGTTCCGAGCGTCAAGGTGTCCGTTGACCTCAGTGAAAGCATTATTGAGCAGGAGAGAGAATCAAATGTAGGCGCAACTTCGAAGGATAAGACCAGTGATGAGTCATCTGCGGTTCTAGCTGCTGGAAGTGGTCAATCAAGAGGCCAAGAAATACGAGTTACTTTAGACACAGAAGGTAATTCCACCTCGAATTTCGCCGAAGATCGGAACAAAACCCAACAAGATCTCGGTGAAGATAAGTCGAGGAGCCAAACCGGCGAGGCTCATGAAGAAGTTGATGACAGCAAAGACCGCGATCAGGGTGAAAGTGAGTTTGAGCTTGTAGATCGTGAAGAGACTCGTCAAGCCTTCATCGAAGGTAGTAGACGAAGCGCTCATCTGGAAAGCGCAAGTGCGCAACAGTGCGCATCTATGGCGTCTCTCCAATTGTCTTTCAGTTCTCCTTCACGCGCTCCGTCGCTGATGAGTTCAAAGAGACGAAAATCGCAGCGACGGCAGGCAAACGAAGACAACAAATCGCCCCCTTCCAAACCTTGGGCAGCGAGGCCGAGGTTACGCATACTCGCGGGCTCAATAAATCGGGTGACGTCGCTTCTGTTGGTGAATGGCTCGTTGTGGATTGGTCGAGGAGTTGGTGACGTGTTAACAGTGAACGTGAATTCGGCCAATAACGACCTTCCATTAGGTTACGTCTTTGCCCAACTTGAAAGCGACAATCTTCTAGGTTACGAAAATGGTCAAGTGGATGAAATTGTCAACAGCGGCACCAACAAGGTTGTTTGCCTTCGACGACTTGAGCCCACGCGACAGAACGCGGCCAGTGAAGATCGCTTTACGGAGCGTTACCAGATAGTCGTGTGGGAGGCCTGGGGCGACTTGGAATTTAGAAAATTCACGAGGCAGTTGAACGAATTCAACTCTTTAGTTGAGTAATAGTTTTTGTGTGTGATCAAGTTGCTGTTAGTTTGAGTTGAGATCCGGATACATGGAGGGACAGCACTTCCCCTAATTAGACTAAGCTAAATTAACTGGGCTTTTAGAACACGAAGCTTTGGATAACAAAGAGGGTAAACAAAGCTATTGTAGAATCGCCCGATGTGTGATAGACGATTTGAAAGCCGAACATACCTGCTTAGACAAACGTAAGCACGCAAAGACCAAGGGATTAAGTTTAGGTTGTAGAAATGTTTAAACAAGAGTAGGGACGACTCTAAATTTTACGGAGGACATCAAAACAAATCCATCTTTTGAATGTGTGGATTTGTATGTATACATTTCAATCCCCAGCAACCTTACCCATATCTGTTCCTCCATCATTACCTACTATTATCATATGGCTAGCTCTGCAAGTGGGTAATATGGACCAAATCCTGCACTATGATTGGCTACCCAAGTGGACAACAAGGGACCATCTTGCCCGCTCGGGAATACCCACTGCATCTCGCTAGAAAATGGTGTTCTTTATGCTATGTAATGAATCTTAAATTGTTCAAGCTTGGTCGGCAAAGATCGCTCGATATTTCCCTCGTGGTCAATATCTAGCCATCTTGACCTGACGCTTGTTCAATAACCCATACATTTTCTTGCGTATATCTTTATAGCTGAGAAACTACTTGAAGGTTTCCCCCGGCCTTTAAAACTAAATTTCGTATGATCCCCTCGTTTGAATTTGATCAACTAGAAAGTTGCAATTCCCGACTTATAAAAACATTTTACTTGTTATGACATAACTATGCATTCGTTTGTAAAACGTATGTTGTTATTAGAGACTTTCGCTCAACTAATCAATCAGCCAGTTCGTGTTTTGTAGATTTTTGTAGATACTAAATACTTTAAACCGTTTCATTTTTAAACTAGATATTTAATATGCAATGAATCTAATTTTGAGAAACTAGTTATAGAGAATTTTCGTAGAAACAGAAAATAAGATACACGTGCAATTTGCGAGATCTTTAGATAAAATACCAAAAAAGAAAACAGTGCTTGTAAAGGGTCACATAAGGACTTTTCTCATAAGTAGTCGATTGGTAGGTTATCCTCATTGGTTTCATTACAGGTCTTATAGTTCTAGTAAGGAGAATTAAGATTTCTCATTGGTGATTTGCCCCGTTTAAGCTTGTATTGTTGAAATAAGATGTTATCGCCCTGAAGATGACATAATGACGAAAACTTAAGGTTTTTGACTAACGTTAGTTTCTACCCGGGTTGGAGTGGGCTCACAAAAGTGATCTTTAAAAGGTCTGTGTTTTTACTCGTGCTTGTGTGTTTGTGGGTGATTATGTTACTTGCAAAAATGATCTTTAAAAGGTGATTGGTTTAGGCACAAAATGATCTTTAAAAGGTGATTGTGTTATATATGATTGTGTTATATACAAATTGATCTTTAAAAGGTCGCTATTTTTAGTCAGTTGTGAAGTCACTTAATTTTAGATACAAACTAATCTGGTAAAAGTTCTTGTTAGGTAATTGCGTTACACACAGTCACGCTGTTGTCTGGGGATTCTATAGGTCACGCTATTTTAAATAGCCGTGCATATAAAGGTCTATTTTTAGTCGATTCGTGGGTCACGCTAGTTAAAATGATGTTTAATAGGTGATTTGCACAATGCCGTCATTTGACTACAACTACCAGGTGTCATTTAGCCAAATGACGACGTCCTGCAAGTCTACAATGGAAAAAGCCACTCTCATCGTTAAATGATAAAATACCATAATTTGCTCGATTACGCTATTTTCAAACAAGAAACTTACGATTATGTGATCAAAATAATAAAAAAAAAAAACAGCAATTAAGATGAGAACTTCCTCAATATTAACTTGTTTGAATCTTTTCAAAAATAAACTCGTAAGTATGGTTGTGTTTAGTTTTTAGCTCCACAAGTTTATAAACGAACGATAGGATTTTTATACCTAATCGTATTGTTCAGGTATACTTCGCATATCAGACGAGTTTTTTCGAGCCACGGGTTTAATTTTAGCGAGTTTGGCTGAGCCAGAATACCCATGGTGAAACCAAACGAGTGAGATATTCCGCTGAACTGCACCAAAAGGTAACATGCGGTATTAATCGTAGCAAAACTCGGCCAAAATTCCGTCAATATGCGGTCAATGATTTTATATCGAGGGATATCAAGGATGTCCCCCGAACCACCCTCTCCCCGCCCCCATCTAAAAAATCACCGGTATAAACTTCTGACAAGAAATTACTTATTCGTTTTCCCAATATGAACGTTCCAAATGGATATCACTCAAGTTCAAGGCTTTTTGGCTTTAAACAGGAATGCAAGTTTTTGGGAAAACTTCAAAAGGAAATACATTCATCCCGAACGAAAATTCCCAGTCATTATTTTCGGTGGAAAGAATCCATGCAAAGGCTCGTGTGACAGGAATGTATGCACGTGCGTGACGTGCGACACGGAGTCGCGCGCGTGTTTGATTTTAAAGCGTAACCTGGAAGTACACGTGGCTTTAAATACTAGCATTTCAGACGTCCAGTGTTAGTTTGCTTCCTCAACTTGTTTACTACTGATAAAACTTTGCACTTGCTTATTTTTTTCGACTTCTCGATAGTCAGCCGCTCAAAACAGACACAAAAGGTTTGATCCCGCAAAGCCGAAGAATAAACGTACTTCATCCCCATCTGATGCGAATTACCCTCTCGAACAACCCTGAATCGAGAATATGTATTCGATACCGCTTTTACTAGGTAAACTGTCTAGATGTGAGGGATATTAATTCCGTGGAATTTTCGGATATGATGGACAGTTAAGGCACTGCAGGGATAATTTTAGCTTAACGCTAGGTTATTTCCAATGTCAGTAGAAGTGATTTTACAACAAGTTGTCAGGAAACAAAATCAATGCTGAACAAAATTTGACTAAAATTTAAAACTGCATATAATTGGTTTGTAACTGGTGGTGAGGGCAAGAAGATATAAGAGAAATTAGATGTTGTACAAACGTTTTCTCGAGTATTTTGTTTTTCTGAAGATGTTTCTTGGACTCATAAGCAGCGATAAAATACAATATCTTTAATTGTATTACAGAAAACCGTAAACAGCCACTCGCAACCTTTAAATTCTACTGTCAAAACAAGCTTTGTAATTTTTGTATTTAAAAACCCAGTGTGACATTATTTTAGAAGGGTTGTTGACTGGTAGTAACATAAAATGCAGAATTGAAAAAACAGTCGGGATGGTGTATGAAAAGAAATGAAATGTTTGCTGATGATTGTCCTTACACAATGCTCTGTTCCATAACACTGCTTATTACAGCACAGTCTTTGGCAAGGAGTTTAAGTGTGAAATTTAAGCCACTTCAGGGCTTTTTTGTTGGTGTTGCGTTTTTTTCATTTTTTTTTTCCCAGTGGCGTAGCCAGGATTATTCAAAGGGGGTTGGGGAGGGGGGGG